TTTTTTTGTTAATGCTAATATAATTTGTGAGAAATGCTAAATGTTCTCAAATGGTATTAAGATTATAGAGTAGCTATATTGTACATGTTCTAAAAATACATGTGTTAAGGAGATCTTACAAATGATGGTCAGATACAACGTGATGATTGTGGTACGTAGTCCCAGTGACGTTTCCACACTCAGTAGCCACTCGCTTCCGTGGGACTTTGCCTGGAAATTCAACAATTAAACTCTTTACATTTTGAGACTCACTGTTAAGCAGATATACAGTTGGGACTCTGATCCAGGACTTCAACTTAAGAATGACAGGGGCTGAGAATATAGTGTGACGTTGGATTCCTTTGCCATATGCAAGGTCAAATTAAAATCAAGTGGGGAAAAATACTCAGCCAATGACAGAATGATACAAAGATGTAGGAGAAGGTGAGTGGGGAGGGATTTATAAGGATGGTCAGATAAAATTCCTTATACTGTTTAATTGTCACTAGAGGGAATGAAATACTGCTAGTTATAGAAACCTAATGGTGATTAGAAAATAACAAAGTTTTAAAGTTCAGAGCAAAGTATCTTCCAACTGGAGGAGGAGAAGGCAGGTAGGGAAACTAAAGAAGAAAACCTGAAGAACACCACTTGGGACATACTTTTTCTACAGTGTTATTTAACTTTACATGTATAATATCATTCAAAACTAGTTTTTGTTTTGTTTTTTTTTCTACCTCAACACAAACACATAACTCCCCATAACATTCAGGGGCAGTATATGTGTCTCAGTAATCATAAAATATTTACTCAAAGAGTTTTATTACAAGAAGACTTTAAAACATTCGTAATGCATATTATAAACCCATTCCAAAGTAAGGCCTTCCCATTCTTCATTTAAAAAAGTAAAGTGGGGGAAAAAAAGGCAAAGAAATGGCAATGGCCTTCTTTTTAGGCCGAAAATTTATTTTGTGTGTTTATGTTATACTTCAGGAACTCGGGCTTCTGTTCTTTTCCTGTTTCGGGGGTGTGGGGGAAGGTTACATCTTTATGCTGTGTTATCTTCACAGGGGCACGTGAGTTGAATGCAGTTGCCATTTAGATGAGCATCGGAGGATTGTCTATAAATTACCACAAAGTTGTTTAGTCAATTAACAGAAATCTTAGGGGATTATAAAGCTTGGTATAGCAACTTCACATTTAGGATAACACAGAATTAAATAAATAAAGCCCATATTTTCTTTTCTTCCGGTTGGGCTCATAGAATGCACCGAGCGCCATCTGCTGGTCATTAGTTTTTCAAAACTATTTTGTTACCCAAACTATTCAGTCAGTTGAAATCAAGACTAGGTATACAAAGATAAATATGTATTGAGAGCGATTTGTGAAGAAAATCAAAGTGTATCTACATGCTATAAATATACCTCATTTCACATGAAAGTGTTTTATTATAATCCATTATATAATAATTTTAAAATTTGCTTTAGGATAAAGATCCAGCAAATTTCAGATAAGAAGTGAGTAGTTTCCATATATTTTAGAATAGACCATCATGAAAGTTTTAGATATAGAAGTAATAACTATTAAAGTTTTCTGGTTTCACTTAAATCATGACATGAAAATACCTACCTAGTGCAAATTTTCTTTTAATTCAAAGTAAATAAAACAGCATACCACCATTTCTGTGAGTGTATTTGGAAGCAGTTAGTGAACATGGAAGTTTAATCTTAATCATTATCTTTAATCATTAAACTATAATTTAAATTATGTTAAGGGTTTTGGGGGGGGGTTAATTTTGTAAACATTGTAAGTCAACATACTTCAACATGTTCACACTTACTCCATGTTTGCATTTTTTAAAATCTGTGCGCAAAGAATCTCAAAGTCTTGATAAAAGTCTCAAACATAGAATGAAAAGGAAACATAGTACTTCTAGAAAGAATTCTACTCACAGCGTCTTTGAAGATTTTTGTCTTATTTAAAATCTGTGTCAGTTCTTTTCCTAATATTTGGTGTCTCTGAAATTTCAAGGAACATAAGAATACGTGATGTTGCCTGCATTTCAGGTTCTCCGTAACCCACACAGAAAACCAGACGCACGGCTCCCTGTTAACTTTCTTCTTCAGATCAGGCACAATAAGAAGCAGGCACATGAGCGCGTCCACTTCCACCGTTCCTATGGAAGGCAGTTATTCGTTCTGTTGTATTTAACAGTAGATTATAAAGGGAAATGATTGCCTACATGGAAGCTCTCAGAACAACAAAATAAAATGAAAAATGTTAAATTGTTTTAATAAGAAAACCTGACACAAGTTATCCCAGAATGTGAACCTTAGTAACAGGAGTTGGTCATTGTTCATCGTAATACATAGTCAGCCTCTAGTCTCCGTCCGTAGAATTACTGAATCTTATGAAAGGATAACATGAATACCTTGAAAAAAAGGAACATCCTCTGGGCAGCAAAGGGATATGAAAAAAGTGAGATAGATAGATAAATAGATAGATAGATAGATAATCAACATGAGGGCAGTTTGTGTGTATAATATCATTTTGTAATAAATCGTATATTTTGTGAAGAGAAAATTAGAGTAAATATACTTAAAAGTTAATAAACTTTTAAAAAGCACGGAATGATGTTGGCTTTTCTGACAGAGGTTTCCTGAAAAACACAATGCGAAGGAATTTAACCCCTTTTCCTATAATAGTTTCTCTCTTCTGTGGATGTATCTGTCTAGTCAGCACCTCCTAAGGGGTAGGATTTCTCCTAAGAACAAGGAGTTTCTGATCATTGGAACCCACTGTTGTTGACACCCACCTTCTGGGAGGAGGAGGCTGTGGGCAGAGTGCCTCTAAGTGCTTGGGGGCCCTAGAATACAGAAGCCCTCAGAGGACCACAAGTGCAGGACCCTGCCAGCTACTTNTGAGTTGAAAACTTCTTTTGTAAAAAACAACCATAGCTGGATTTACCAATAATATACATTTACTAATAATGGTAAATTATTACTAATAATGTAAGTCATCCGGTTCATCCCTGAAATCCAATGACTCAGAAAGACCAAACCTGAGTGGCAGTGCCCGGCTCTGCCCTTCCCATCTCTCCATGACACAGACTCAATAAACTGTATTCTAGAGGAAAGATTAGGTGCAAATGATTCCTTGTCTAGACCTGTAAGCAATTTGGATCTGTATGCACATCAGAGAAGGCATCGCAGCCGATGGCAGAAGCCTTCCCTGGAAAAAAGCTCACCAGTAGAAATACCACCACTTAACCCTTATCTTTTTTTTCTTTTCTTGCCTTTTTTTTTTTTTTATTAGTTTCAGGTGTACGAAGCAATGTAAAAGTTAGACACTTCACCCCTCACAAAGTGATAACCCCTCTCCCCCAAACTATTGCCCCTCTGACCACATACATGTCTATTACAATTCCATTGACTCTCTTCCCTGTACCGACCACTTAGCACTTTTCAATGCTCATCTGATTCTACAATGATGGCTTTGACCTTCCTTATTTGTAAATAAATACGTCAATCTGTTTTTCAACTTGGGTAAATCTGGATGCTTTCAGATACGTAGAGTCAAAGTAAAAAAAAAAAGCTGAATTGTTTTCTAGTCTTAGTAAATCTGTGTTTTACTTTGAAACTTTCACACACATCTGAGGTATGTCATCTTAGCTTTATTTTTTCCACAAACATGTATTGTCATGGATGCTGCTTTGTTTGTTTACCTTTAAAACTTAATCAGCTGGTTTAATTAATTGTCCAAGGAACCTCTAAAATGATGTCCTGATTCTTCTGTGCAACTCTGCCATGTCATATGGTGTTGTTATCTGTTCCACCAGATTTTTACCACAAATTGTTTAAAAACTATGATCTCTTTGAGGGCAGAAAAATGAAGTGCAGTTGAAAAGACAGTAATGCTGACAGATAAACAGAGCAATATTACTTATCAGAATGGGTACAGTTTTTGCTTGCTTAATGAGTACAACATATAGCCCTGAAATATATACACAATGAAAAAAGCTTTATAACATATCAAGTATGCCGCATTATTTCAGCCATAACTGTACAGGATACGTATCTAGGCCTGAGAGTGTAGATAACAAAATATAAGTGCTTTGCCTGTCTAAACATGTTAAATAAATGAGCATTCACTATCGCATTCCAATACATTAGAAGATGTACTTGCATAGTTAGTTTTCTTTTTAATGCACCACACGTGATCATTTGAAGCCTAGAGCCAGAGTATATCTTAGTGTTTGAAGAAAGAGTTCTTTTCATTTAAACAAATCTTTATTTAAATAAGCCTTTTGAAAAGGATCTTTAGCGTATCTTCTTTTCAGGAAGTTCAATCAGGGTAAATGGAGATAAAGAAGCCACACTAGAAGGCACATTATATAAGTAAAGATCACTCAGCCAAAAAAAAAAAATATATATATATATGTCAGCAGACATAAGGAGCATAAAACTAACCGAATTTTATTCTAAATTTCTAGATTTTAGGTGCTTTTGTTTACTTGTAGTTTTACTTTTGTAGTTTTAAGCATTTGGTATTGACGTAATAAAAGTATTTGGGGAAGAGACAGTGTGAGCGAGGAAGAGAGGAAGAAAGAGAAATAACTTCTTTCTTTCAAAAGGAACAGAAAGAGTACCTTCAAATGCTCACCTGAAATAAACTTCTGCAGTTAGATCCTTACCTTGATTATTCTCAGGCATGATACCACATCATATAGCATGGTTAATGATTAAGGCGAGCCCAGAAGGCAAACAGTTGACAAAACTCTCTACAGATTATGCCTAACTTGGTTCTTAGTCTTCTGCTGTTGGCCACTGAACAGTTCCTTTAATGCAAGGGATACAATTTTGCACATTGGAGACAAGAGGAGTACAGCTCTTGTGTTGATCAAACACTCCACCCTAGGAGGAACGGAAGTGAAAGACATGAGAAGGTGCTATTGACATCAACCTCATGTACAACAGGCTAAGCATTCTATGTCAGTGCTATCTTTCTCTTCTTCTTAATAGGCGGTCAGCTTTGGTGCACAACTACGAAGGCCATCTCTGAGGGTGAAGAGCTAATTGCGTTTGTGGTGGATTTTGACTCAAGGCTACAAGCTGCCAGTCAGATGACTCTTACAGAAGGGATGTACCCTGCACGCCTGCTGGACTCAATTCAGCTGCTTCCTCAGCAAGCTGCCATGGCTTCTATTTTGCCTACAGCTATTGTCAATAGTAAGTGCTGAGTGCAATAGCCCAGTATAAGAGC